GCTGTGAAGCACAGATGGAATTTCCCAGTAGCCACATTGGAAAAGTAAAAAGAAGCAGGTGAAGTTAATTTTAATAATACATTGTGTTTCACCCAAAATGTCCATAATATTCTCTTTCAACCATGTTATCAAAATAAACATTATTAATGAAATATTTTACTATTTTTCCATACTAGTTCTCACGGCAAATCCCATTTCAACCTAATCACATTTCAAATGCTCAGTATTCACCTATGGCAACAGTACTGCACAGTGTAGGTCTAGAAATATTCCAACATTAGCAATAAGAAGGGGCAAGGCAAAGGGAGCCAGAAATTGAGCAATGAAGATTTATGTCTTGAGAATGTGAACACTTGGAAGAGAGAGCAAGAGACTAAAGTGTTAAAAAGCAAAGACATCACTTTGAGGACTAAGGTACACCTGACCCAAGTCATGGTATTTTCAATTGCTTCATATGCATGTGAAAGCTGGACAGGGAGTAAGAAAGACCAGAGAAGAATCTAAGCATTTGAATTATGGTGTTGGCAAAGAATATTGAATCTACCATGGACTGCCAGAAAAATGATCATCAGTTTTTGGAAGAAAAACAGCTGAATTGTTCCTTGGAACTGAGGATGGTAAGTCTTCATCTCTCATACTTTGGACATGTCAGGAAGGACCAGTCCCTGAAGAAGGACCTCATGCTTAGTAAAGTGAAGGGTACAAAAGAGGAAGAGCCTCAATGAGCTGGATTGACACATTGGCATCAACAATGGACTCAAATATGACAATAATTGTGAGGATGGTGCAGGGCCAGGCAGTGTTCCATTGTACATAGGGTCACTGTGAGTTCAAATCAACCCAGTGACACCTAACAACAACAACATATTTTCCTTTTTTCTATACTAATGCTCACAGCCTGTTTCATTTCAGATGATCACATTTCAAATGCTTGTATCTACATATGACTGATGGCTACTGTATCATTAGTGTTGTGTTGTTAAGTGCCAGCTACTCAGTTCTAACTCACTGCAATCCTGTATAGAGTTTCTGAAGAGCAGCTAGTGGGTTTGAACAGCTGACCTTGTGAGACAAACCAATCTTGCTGTCCAGTGCTTAGCCTACAGCGCCACACCAGGACTTTGTATTGGTCAGTGGGGGTTTACCAATATTTGAACATTAGCAATAGAAAGAGGACAAGGCAAAGGGAACCAGAATTTGAACAATGAAGAAAGGGTTTTGAGAATCCATGTGTTTGAAAGAGAGAGCAAGAAGGTCAGGGGCTGAGGGCAGAGCCAAAGACACTGCCAGGAACAGACAAGAGGGAAGAAAACTGGAACAGACCTGTTAGGAGAAGGCTGTGGGCTAATGCAGTGATGGCCAAGAGCCAGGTGGTGGCAGAAGAGAGCTGCTTCAGAGTCTAGACAAAGTTGGAGGCTGGTAGGAGGGAATGAAGAAGGTCTTTTATGCTTTGCTCCTGGAACAGCTATGGTTGTGGTCTGGGACTTTCAGACCAGGAGGCTATGAGCTTTCTCTGAAACCATCCTAGACCTTCAGCTAATGGTAAAGCAGTCCTTGAATTAGTGGTCAAAAGAAGACAACCTTGAAGGGAAGGGTGAACCATGAACTTAGTGCCATAGACACTATGGGTTCAAATTCCTTCTCTGCCTTTAACTTGAATGAGTTCTGTTTCATGTTTGGTCTTCTGTGTCCTTTTCTATAAAATGAAGATAGCAATGCCTGACCTGCCCATGTTACTGAAGAACTAGGGGGGAAATATGAGCAGCTATATTCACAGCCTGTGAATCTCTACACATGTTGTTGTTTTTGTTAAGTACCATGGAGTTGGTTCTGACTCATAGTGACCCTGCACAGGGTTTCCGAGGCTGTAAATGTTTATGGGAGCAGAAAGCCTCATCTTTGTCCCATGGAACAGCTGGTAGTTTTGAACTGCCGACCTTGGGGTTAGCAGCCCGAGTCTAACCATACATACAAAATACTAATTATTGGAACAATGAGAGCAATCATGAACATGAGGCTGTCTCAGTGGGCAGAGTACACCTGTCTCCCTGCTTCTCTGGCTGCATTTTTGATCCTGCCTGCCTCTGCTTTGTAGATTCCATAGACTCATCATATGGGAGGTCAAACTGCCTGGGGCTGAGGCTGCCCTCTGGCCTGAAAAGGGGAAGAAGAGA